ATCTGAGGCTCATAGCAGCTGTGGAGAAGCTGGAGAGATCCACAGCTCAGGTGGGCTAATCTTTCACCAGGGCAACTGTTACACAAGCACTCCACAAATCTAGCCTGTACAAAATAAGAGCAGGAATGAAAACAATGTTGAGAGGAAGTCCTTAGAAGTTCAAGTTGGGAGAAGGCCATCTTGTCAGATGAGATCGACATGAAACTTTCTAACATTGCACATTCTCTTGGACATACAACAACAGAAGAATAAGAGGGTGTTGAGAGTATCACACTGTGGAGAAGCAGGTCAGAGTCAATGTACTAAGCTAAATACAGTGCAGTCCTTGAAGAAAATCTGTTAGAGGCTGCAGAAAACTTGAGATTGGGAAAGAACTTCAACTTCCAGCAGCACAATGATCTGAAGTGAAGTAAGGTTCTATCACATATTCACCCAAATGTTGCTGAATTCAAAAACATACCACACTTTACAGAATATTAAGTGCAATGTTAAATAAATGCTTGTTCACTTTTAAGCACCACTTTGTGTTTGTCTATTTAAAACTCCTAAAATCACTGAACCGTGCACTCATACTTTTGCACGAGTGCAAAAGATGCACACGTTTAAAAAGATGTGTGCATCTTTTTAAACATCCTCTCTATTGTAATGTAAGACCTTGTTTAAGACACTGTTTTGCGAGAGATATTTCAGAAGTTTCATTTGCCATAAATCCAATAAAGTGTTGCTCATTGCTAAAAACTGAGAGCTGCAGATCAGAAATCAGGCTCGGAAATTAAATCCGAGAACAGAACGAGGCTGCATACAACAGACAATCCAGACTCGCTTTGCAATTTCATGCTGTTTTTTAAGCAGAGCCTCAAAGGTTAACAAGCTTATGGTCAGAGAGGAGAGCAGATTTATTGGTCTGAGTTCAGCTTTGATGCAAGCACAAAGTGCCCTGAATGTCAACGAGCTTGAGAAAACTTCATGTTGTCTCCAACTCTAATGCGTTTTGTTCTCACTGGGCTTCTCATCCAAAACATGCGGACAGCCAGATTTAGGCCTGGAGGCTAATCTGAACGTTCCTGTGAATGCTAATGTGAAATGTTCCATAAGATGTGCTGTGCACACCAGCAAAACAAATAAAAGCAGATGGTTGAAAAGTTCAGTCACAACCTCTGCTTGGATTTAATTTGTCGAATTGATTGAAGCCCCAGATCGGCCCCTGCTGCACCCCGCGGCGATGTTCTGGGTGGATCGTAAACATAAAAAATCGTGGCATCATGGTCAGAGCAGCTCTATGCTGGTATATCGCCTAAGGGGTTTGTTTTGTCAAGTGCCCAAACAATCAGTTTATAAGAACATACTCTGCTTCGCTGTGCCTTGTGAAAGTATTAATTTACTCTGAACTTTTCAACATTTTCTAATAGTGCCGCCACAGACTTCAATGTATTTCATTAGGATTTTGAGTGATAGGCCAAAACAATGTAGTGCAAAATTCAAAAGTGGAATGAAAATGATAAGAAGTTCTCAGTCGCTTTACACTTTAGTCGCTAGAAAGTTTGGTGTACCTTTGTAAACACCAGCCCCAAATTCAATTCTTTTGAGAAATACTGTGTATTGTTATAGTTCCAACACTTTTGGGATAGTCTTTCCTCACAAAAGACCTCGACTTTTACTTAAACTGGATGGAGAATTTCTGTCAACAGCATTTTTCAAATCAGTGATTCTTAAATTAATTTGGGTCTGGACTTTGATTAGACCATTTTGATAGATCAATGTGCCTTGGTCTAAACCAGGGTTGTCAAACTCCAGTCCTCAAGGGCCGGTGTCTTGCAGTTTTTAGATGTGTCACGGGTACAAAACACTGAATGAAATGGCTTAACTGCATCCTTCTTGTGTAGATAAGTTCTCCACAGCCTTGCTAATGACCTAATTATTTTTATTCAGGTGTGGTGCAGGAGAGGTACATATAAAAGTTGCAGGACAGTGGCCCTTTACGACTGGAGTTTGACAACTATTCCAAAAATCCCTGCTGAAGAAATATTTAGGTGATTTGTGAAGGATATTGTTTCCACTGAATTTTATTTAGAGATTTGACACCAAAAGTGGCAAATATATATCTATGAAATACGTATTAGTATTTGTAAAATGGTCCTTGACATACATGTGGACAAAAGTGTTGGACCTCTGTTTCTCACTGAAAAACTCATTGGTCACTGAAATAAGTGACCAATGACAGAGACAAAGTTAATAAGAAATAAAATGCTATGAAAATTATCCATTGGAAATCAGACACTGCTTTTTAAATGTGGTTCAACGGAATCATGTAAAAAAAATAATGTGCATCACATCTAAATATAACAGCTTGATGATTATTACTACGAGTCAAAATGTTAAAATCTTTTAAATAGTAGTAGGAAAGCCAACTTTCCGTCAATGCAACCAACTCAGAGTTGAAGATGGAATATTTATGAGTAACTCGGGAGTGATGACGGCTAAAGAGAACATGTCCTGTCCTATTGCTGAGAGCTTGGAAGGACAGGCGATGAACTAAGCTGAGTCAGTAAGGAGTTCTGTTTAGGTCACTGACAGGTTTTTTATTTTTCAAAACTTTTCCTCTTTCGGTTCTTCAACAACATTCCTCTCGTCAAGCCTAGCGGTTGATAAAAGAAATCAACAACAATTCAACGGGAGTGAATCCTCTCCGTTCTCATTGCCAAGAAACCCCAAAACAGTATCTGCTTACACTTATTAGAACTGATCTGATTATTCTAGCAACTATGTCTGGCATGAAAAAAAAAGGTGGAGGTCAGTACATGCTGCCAAAACAAGCAACCACAATCAATACTGGCTTTGCTGCATCAGAGCTTATTTATAGAAACACTGGAAGACGTGAGAAGAGGAAAGGAGCACTGACCACAAACAAGTTGGACTGTTAATAGAGCTCACACTAGAGTCCTAAACAATTTGATTTGCACTTAGTTATCTTAGTGGATCCTGATCTCCAGAGGAGCAGATGCAGTGGGACAACAAACATAGGTAATGCTCTTTTTCAGATATAGGCAAATACTGATGTCAACAAATTATGCATTTTTGCCCACATGTGAGTAAAGTTGCAGAGGCACAAGAAAGTACATTGTCAGCAGAGATATACAGCTAAAAATAAAAGGGAACAGCAGGGTGAAACACTTGGCTGATAAGGATTACATTCAATCAATTTTAGTTCTCAGATTGACACAACATGGCAAAGGGAGTGTGTCTTTCAGAGAACATATTGAGTCCAAGGTGTTTGCCTGAGATAGAACTGTCTATCTCAGAGTCAACCACTATCAAGCTTTTTTAAAAGTGTCCGAAAGTCTTTAGTGATATAATGTTCCTAGAGTTGAACATTGATATCAATGAGGTGCCAGAGAAAGCGCATGAGTAGCCAAGTTTCTCTCAGGCCTTATGGAGAGTAATGCAAAGCTTTCCCCAGGCTTTCACCCAAATGTTGGCACTGACAGGCGGTGGATGAAAGATGGCTACAACACTTACATCTTGCTTACAAGGACGACAAGTTTATCGGTTTTATCTGGGAAAAAGAGTAGTCATGGTGTGGAACGTAAAGATGTCAATCAATTCTTTTTGCATTAATAAAGTAATTCTTCTCCAAGAACAGATAGAAAATAATGGTAAAATTCAGTTACTGTTGCATGGAATAAGCACTTCAGATTTCCCTCTGAATATGTGCAATTAATTTAAACATTTGTGTTCATCTAATGTGCATTTTTACTTTAGGTTATGGTACCAGTCCATAGATATGAGGGAGTTCAAACATTTCTTTCTCTTCTGCTTTGAATAAGCTAAAGGATTCTTTCTTATTATTAATAAATGAAAGGAAATAAATTAAGCTAATTTTGGGGGAATAATTAATATCTTCTCTTAATTAATAAAGTAGACTAATTTTGCAGTGATAATTATCTTCTTTTAGTGTGTTTATATATATATATATATATATATATATAATATATATATATATATATATATATATATATATATATATATATATATATATATATATATATATATATATATATAGCTAAAGCCGCTCTCTAACACAAAAGGTTTAATTCTGGTTGTGCTGGTATATCCAAACTGCAAACGCGGAACAACCTCACTTAACTTCCAATGGAGGAATGTCTCCGGATTATTCAGCAGGAATAATGTACTAACCCGCAACTAAGAAGTAAAGAGAGGTCAGAAAAGAAGCGCAGTGTTTGCACACGTAAGTCGTGTAATTCCCTCTGGAGAAGTGCAGGAATACACAGTGATTTTCCTCCGGGGACGCCTGGCCCGGCGCGCTGTCCTGCGCTGCTGCTGCTGCTCACCATAGCCTACTTCTCGTTAATCGGACGGATTACCAGCGCAGCCCTCCACCGTCTGCTCCGTTTCTATTTCAAACCCCGGACAGTCCCACCACCACTATAAACCACGCCCGCCAGTATCAGTGACGATTGCGTGATTTGACACGCAAATAGATAATAATTTTAGACATCCTGTTGTATAAGACGAGCAAAGGCGATATCAGGCGCAGCAGAGCGCATTAGAGTTAAGACGTTCACAATCAAAAGCGCTTTGGACAGAAAGGACATGGCGACTAGTGAGGGAGAGAAAGAGGGACAGAGAGAGAGAGAGAGAGAGAGAGAGAGAGACAGTCAGAGAGAGAGAGAGAGAGAGAGGAAAGTGCTTGAAAATGTGGACTTTAGTTTTTGTGGAACTGCCAGGGATTTGTCTGCTTGATCCAAACAGACTCAAATAAGGAAGGTTGGGATCAAACTGCCTTGGCACGGTTTCTATCCCCTTGTTTGTTTGTTTGACACAGTTTAATTCCACATGGATCTGTTTTAGCTGCGCAGAAGCGGAAAGTTTTGTAAGAAGGATTTGCCCTCTTTGAGCATTTCCTATCATCACTGCAAATCTACAACTGGAGTAAAGTGTTAGGGATGAGTAAACGAGTTTAGAAGCGTCACAAAACTTACCCTCCATGCAAAAGATAACCATCCAGGCTATCCACAGGTCTGAGTTCTGAAACTTCACCATGGTTCTGGAGTTTTCACGGACTCGCTCTCACTAGAAGTCCAGTGCTTGTTTCTGAGCAGAACTCTCGCAGATTCCTTAAAGGAAAGCAGCCGCTCCTTGCACCGACATGGGACTTACGCAGCGCACCCTCGTGTCTTTTCCTCAAACATGATTGAAAACACAAGACAGCGTCACTATATTCTCTCTCTACTCCAGATTCCTTATAATCACTTCTTTATCCTTTGGCAGCTGACGGTGACTCCAAGACTGTTTTTCTCTACCGGCACCTCTCCAGTCACTTTTACGCACGCCTGCACAGAAGTCAGCGTCCACCCACCGACGTCCCCAAATCTGCCCGCTGGCGCCGAAAGAAATCTAGAAAAGGCTCCGAGGCTGGAACGTTTCCCGTCCGCTTGCTGAGTCTCTCAACCATGGAGCGTCTTGTTGCGCTCCATGGTTTCTCGTCTGCTCCGCTATTGCTGAGCGGACCTCCGAGAAAGTTGCCCAGAAAGAGAGGCACTACCAGTTCCGCTCTGTGCTTTTCAAAATAAAAGAAGCCCTGCTAAGAATTATGCAGACAGAGCCTCAGGTTCTCAGGAGTGAGACAGGCTGAACTATGAACAGAGTGTGAATGATCAGCCAGGGAATTTGATCCCTCACACCAGTCAATTTAAGTTGCACTACGGTGTTTGTTATTCTCATTAACTTTCTGTATTTTTTGTCTTAAGCATAACTATATTTAGCATAATATTACTTCATAGTTGTATCTTCACAATCTCAGAGATGCTTCACATATACTGTCTAAACTGCCTATAAAAAAGGAAGCCTGGATCCTGGTGTGTGTTAGAATAGAGAAGATGCTCTGGAATCAGAAAACAGGTTTTTTCTTTGCATGTGACATCATGTCCTTTGACAATTAAAATATCTATCAAGCAATTTTTTCTATTTTTTTTTTTAAATATTAAAGTTATCTAATCATTTTGATTCAAGAGAAATTGTTAGGAATGACACATTTGAAACAAATCTGTTGGAATTCAACACATTTGCACTTGCAAAATGAAAAGTGTTACATCAGTTTCATTGGACAAATCCTGACATTTTGTTTGACCCTCCTCCGTCCGAAATGGATTTATTTTATGGCTACAAAATCATCCAGAGTGAGGGAGTTTGTCTGCAGGTTTTCAATGACGACTTAAACGTTCTATATCTAACATTGATTTGGTATTATTTGGTATTATTTTGCGCACAAACAGTTTAAAGGGCAAAATAAGAAACATGTCGAATTCCCTCTCTGCTGATAACAAGGTTTCACGGTGTGAAAGTTTGTCCCAGGTGTTTCCTGCATGGCATGTCCAGTCTCAATCTGAAATGAAAACACCCTGTTTTAATTGAACTATAGTTCATAGCCTATTTCTGTGCCTCATATTTTGTGGGCATATGATCCGTTAGCTTAAACCAATAGAACCTCCAAGGCTTTTGTATGGGCCGAGCGTCTTAACCTCATACTTTGTTTGACGTAGCGTAAAGTCACGGCAGCAAGCCGTGTGGGCAGATTCAATCGAAGAAAGCTTGAACTGGAAGGGCGTTTATTTTCTAGGCTGCATTTCCGCCGCCCCACTTCAGCGCGACTGAGTCTGCGCGGCTTGACTTCGCTCAGCTGCGGATGATTGAGATGAGCTCGAGCCCGGCTGTTGCTGGGAGACCGCTGACGCTAGACGAGAGGGAGACGTTCATGCCCTCCTGCGGCGCGCGCAAAGTACGACTGAGAACACTGGGATAGAATAGAATAGAATAGAATAGAATAGAAAGAATAGAATAGAGTAGAATAGAATAGAATAGAATAGAATAGAATAGAATAGATTAGAAAAGAAAAGAATAGAATAGAAAGAATAGAATAGAAAAGAAAAGAATAGAATAGAAAAGAATAGAATAGAATAGAATAGAATAGAAAAGAATAGAATAGAATAGAGTAGAATAGAATAGAAAGAATAGAATAGAAAAGAAAAGAATAGAATAGAATAGAATAGAATAGAATAGAAAAGAATAGAAAAGAATAGAATAGAGTAGAATAGAATAGAATAGAATAGAATAGAATAGAATAGATTAGAAAAGAAAAGAATAGAATAGAAAGAATAGAATAGAAAAGAAAAGAATAGAATAGAAAAGAATAGAATAGAATAGAATAGAATAGAATAGAATAGAATAGAAAGAATAGAATAGAAAGAATAGAATAGAATAGAATAGAATAGAAAAGAAAAGAAAAGAATAGAATAGAAAGAATAGAATAGAAAGAATAGAATAGAATAGAATAGAATAGAATAGAAAGAATAGAATAGAAAGAATAGAATAGAATAGAATAGAATAGAATAGAATAGAATAGAAAGAATAGAATAGAATAGAATAGAAAGAATAGAATAGAAAGAATAGAATAGAAAGAATAGAATAGAATAGAATAGAATAGAATAGAATAGAATAGAAAAGAATAGAATAGAATAGAATAGAATAGAATAGAATAGAATAGAATAGAATAGAATAGAATAGAATAGAATAGAATAGAATAGAATAGAAAAGAATAGAATAGAAAGAATAGAAAAGAATAGAATAGAAAGAATAGAATAGAATAGAAAAGAATAGAAAAGAATAGAATAGAATAGAATAGAATAGAATAGAATAGAATAGAATAGAATAGAATAGAATAGAATAGAATAGAATAGAATAGAAAGAATAGAATAGAAAAGAATAGAATAGAATAGAATAGAAAAGAATAGAATAGAATAGAATAGAATAGAATAGAATAGAATAGAATAGAATAGAAAGAATAGAATAGAATAGAATAGAATAGAATAGAATAGAATAGAATAGAATAGAATACTTATCAACAAAGCAATCTTTTGACACCTGCTTGTGCTACAGCTTTGGTTTCATGACATATTTAAATTATTGTTGCTATAAATAACAATGTCAAATATAAACTAATAAATCGGAGCAGCATTTCTGCTGTGTAACTGTTTTCTGTTTTTTTTCTGCCATACACACAGAATTCAGTGGCTTCTTTGATCACCACTGCTATATTAGGCCCTCAGTTCTGAGTCATAATTCCTAGTCTGTAATGTAAATATCAATGCAGTGTCAGTGCAACATGCAGCTTTCCAGGTGAGCTCTGCAATGCTTGCTCTGCGGGAAATGTGAGGTGGGTTGTTTACCACTGCGGGAGGTGGGGGGTGAGAGAGACCAAAGCATGCAGTGAGTGATTGAAATACTGTACGCTACAAAGAAGACACCATCAAAGGGCCTGCATTCAGGCCTCTAATCACTCTGATCCATTGATGACACTTGGCTCACCTCAACACCAAATGACTGCTGGGATCTCTTCAACTTTACAGCATGACCGGTCTAGAGGTTTCCCTGCATGTTACAGAAAATTGGAGAATGACTATAATCAAAGAGAAAAAACACGCAATGAATGCAAAACCATCCCTCCATCCTGTCTTCAGGATTTCAGACAATAGACATATTAGGGTCGGAGGATCTGAAAAATGCCCTGAGGCTTTTGTTGTCTACGTCCTTCCTTTTCACAGGAGTTCAGATAGAAGGTTTAGACCAATATGCATACACTGAAGAATCAGTTGCCTTTTTAAAGATTTTGCAATATTTTTGAAAATGGAGCAAGTTTCAAAGACAAAGCAATACATATTGTGCTGGATCACAGCCAGGTGAATGGGAGGACCACTGGACAGAGAAAGTTCTCTGTCATGAGCAGATTTACAACATTTAACAAATTTATTTATAGATTGAAAAACAACCATATTCACAATAAAAAAAGATGCTTAAGACCTATTGAAAATTGTTTGTCTGTTTATAATAATAATAAAAGTAAATTGTCACTCATCTAGCTTCCTGCAGTGACTAGCTGGGTAACTCAATCTTGCATGACAAAAAGTGAATTTGGCCATGTATCTTTGCAGCTGCTTTATTTTAAGATTGGATTGAAAATGTAACATTGAGCCACCATAAGGGGATGCTGGTTTCCATTGTTATGGTCAGAAGTCACTGAAGTTTCAAATGTTTGCCCAACTTACTTCTTTCAACCATAATACACTTTCCTTCACCTGCAAGCAGTCTTTCCCTTTGTTTAACAAAACTTTTCTGGGCCAAATACTTGTTTGTACGGTAAATGAATTAGATAAGAACTTAATTTTATAGAAGCATAAAATATACTGTGAAGTACACAACAGACCATTATTGGAGGTGTTACTTGTATTTCTTAGTTACACATTATCTTCATTCATTGATTTGATTAAAATTGGAATGGGAAACCATTTCCAAAAGTGCACCAAGAAAAATAACTAAGAGAAAAGTCTTAATAAAAGCAGCATCATCAACTGCAGTAACTCTGATGTTGAGCTTACAGGATGTTACCATTAATTTCACTTGCATTGTGTATTATTTTTTAAATAAATTTATGCAACATTTTCAAAGAACTTATCTTCTGTACTTATGGAAATCCATAACTGAAGTGTAATTTTCTTTGATTTTCTGAACACACGCTAAATAAGTTTTCTGTGCAAATTACTGAAGGAAATTAAACAACCACCAACAAAAGCCAGGAAGTGTAAGACATGCCACTGGACAAGATTTATGACAAATACATTTTGACTCGGCTTATGCTCACACCTTCTGGCCATATCAATTTTTTTGGAGAAATGTTCTTGTAAGCTGCTCTTCTGACTGCTGCTTTCAATACTCTCCTTACAGATTTAAATAAGAAACATGGCTCTGAACATGATGGATAGGTTAAATTGGGCTTCTTCAGCAGCCCCAGAAAAGATGCATGCTTGATTTATTATTGATTCGTCTCTGAAACCGCTCCATTTTTCTTTTATTCCACACCCCCCATAAAAGATTCAAAAGACCTGAAGGAGATCCTCGTTGCTAAATGCTGCAAGTCTCCTCCGGACGCTTGTCATGGAGTTTACTGTAGCCTAAATATTGATGTCAAGTAAACAACTAAGCCTTTGTTTTTTTGTGCTGTGTTGCATTGGCTTTGACTTGTTGAACCTTTGTTGGCATGAGAATATTCACCTTTGGTCCTTAATGGATTTTTTTGTGGCATGGGTACAACTTTGATAGATGCCAAAGTATTTTAACAGCACTTTCTTATAACCTTGGAGGGTTACTTATAAGCTACTGGATAGAAGAATTCTCCTAAAACTTTCTAAACTGTCCTTTTTCAAAACTTTCTGAAGTATAAATAGTGCAAAATTCAAAAGCCACGCTTAAATATATTAACATATAAAAACATTGCTTTCTCTGGAAAGCTAAGCATCACCATATAATATTAAAAGGCTATTATTTAATCAGAAGCTTTCACACATTATACCAAAACTTCTAGAGACTTATTTTATATCTAACAAAATATGGGACTAAATGTACAGTTGATAAATGACAGCAACTAATTTTTGCAAAAATGTTGCCCACTGTTTTCAGGTTGGGCTGTTTGTTGACACAGCAAGAAGGTTCTCGGTTTGAATTCCAGCCTGAGGTCTTTATGTTGTTTGCACGTTCTCCGTTTCCAGATGTGAGTATACTCTCATTTCCTTTCACAGTCCAATAACACGACTGTTTGTTTAATTGGCTTCTCAAAATGGACGTTTGAGTGGATGTCTATCCTACAGTATGTGTGTCTGTGTTGTCCTGACAGCGTGAGTCAGGGTAAACCCTCTCACACCTAAAAATCACTTGAAGGAACTCCAGTCCCGTCATAACCCTTCATATAGATAAACGGGTATCGACAACTGATGGATGTTTTGAGAATGACTTTGAAAGCTTTCAGCGCCCTTTCTCTGGGAAAGTTTTTAGATACTTTATCATCTTTGATGGACCACTGGTGTCTCTAAATGGGTCATACTGCACTACATGGTTAGGCCACTGTGATATTTAAAGTCAAATCCATAAAAGAAAGCATAAAGGTCAAACATTTTTTTTAAAAATATTATTGAAACAGCAAGACTATATTAGTGGAAGAAAAAGAGGATTTGATTTTGTGAAGCTTGGGCATCACAAAAGGGACTCAAATCCTCTGCTTCCCAGACAGCAATCATTGGCCTTCGTTTACAGAAGACGTGAAAGCGGGAGAGTGGTGGTGTGAGAAAGTATTGTTCGCCTCATGAATTTCTCAATCCACATCCTTGCAATCAGCAGTCCCAATCACCTCACAGAAGAGTTACTTGGTATTCAAATCTAAAAGTAACTGATTGCAATACTGTAGGGAAAAAGTTATAAGAAAAATGGCCTTTTTTTTCCATCTTTTATTTATTTTTTTGCTACAAAAAAATGCTTAAATATGGATGTCCAATTTCAACTTGAAATACAAAGCTTTAATTGTTAATGTCCAGCATAATCTTCTTAAGAAAACTATTATAAAGTATTCTACAAGGGATGCAACCTTTTACACAATGTTACATCCCAATCTTGTACTTTACTGAATTTTATTGAGATAAATGAATGGAGGCTTGTTCGGTTAGTGGGAATCAATTACATTAGACGTGTTCACCCCGACACCCCTAAATAAAATCTAGTGTAACCATTTCCCCTCACCTGTTTGTGAATTAGTAAAAAGAGCAAACCGGTGTGCAGTTTAATCTTGGTATAAAAATGATGCACTTTGAATCGTTTTGAGGTTTGCGAGATTAGACTTCTAAAACAGAAATTCTCATGAAGGTGATAGATTTTGACTGAGGGGAATCCACAAAAAAAGAATAAAAATTCCAGGCATATTTAGATTTGCTAGGAAGAAATGAATTAAAACCAGTCCTTCGCTGTCAGGCATGACTTCACATCATTCAAATAAAATACATCGAAGTTTGTTGGAACTTAAGAAAATGTGGAACGTTTCAGGAAGTATGGATGCATCTGAAAAGCTATGAGCATAATTCTGAGCTGTCTGGTTAATCTAAAACTACAGATTACAGTCACCAGATAGAAATATTAAAGCAAACATGAGCAGTACTTTTGGACAAAGATCAATGGATTGATGAGTCAAAATTGATGGAACTTTGTAGCAAGAATTGTGAATCAAGTAATGTGGTGATTTTACGATAAACATTCATCTCCTTTTAAATGTTGTCTTTATACAACTGGAAATTTACATTGTATTCATGTATAAGACCCACTCATTTATGGATGTCATTGCATTAGTCCTCCCAATGTCCAGAAGTAAAACTGTTTTATTTTTACATTTAACCAAGTTCTGTTTCAAGTAGATTTTATGACTGATGTGAAAATACTCTATTCAATTCTACAATGTATATTTCTATTTCAACATCAAACCTATGCTGACCTGCGACAGACTGGCGACCTGTCCAGGGTGTACCCCGCCTCTCGCCCAGAACGCAGCTGGAGAGAAGCACCAGCACCTCCCGACCCCGTTAGGGAGAAGGGTGCTCAGAAAATGGATGGATGGACCTCTGCTGACTTTAAAAATAGGAGCTAGCGCCATCTTGTGGCGAGATCAAAACATAGAAGTTGAAATAAAACACAAATAGACTTCTTGTAACTGTTTACTTCTTCAGATCAGTTTTGATTAACATTGTGTATAGGTTATACAGATAAACCACATGCATCATTATAGCAAACAAGAATGGAGAGTCAAACAGAGCAGGCCAGGTCCACAGGGGAGATCAGTCCTGAAATGACAGCAAATGTTACTGGAGGAGATAGAGTAAAAATGAAAAAAAAAAGAGAGAGAGAGACTCATAGCTGCCATCTTTACTTTATTAATCTGGTTGGGTTCAAGCTAAAGGGAAATGGGGAATTGTTCCACAACAGCTGTCAGACAACATTCTTTTCACGGCGACGGTTAAACTGGCTACTTCTTGCCCACTGTGGGCCAGGTTGTTTACGTAACCGCCACACATTAATCTGCAGATTCTGAACAACAGAAAGTCATCTATAAATAGTGTATGCAAACATATGGGGTGTGCTGTGTTAAGAAAATGTGCAATACCAGTAAGACCAGTTTAGCCTGTACACACAGGCTAAAAAAAACAATAATTTTGCACTGAACCTGTGACTGCAGGTGTGACTACAGGTCCAACAGGTGTGATGCGATACTACATGTTCATCTGCACGTCATTAGATTTTCTATGCTTTCTACAAATATCAGAATTGAACATCTAAAGTTCTTCTTCAGAAGCAACAGGACCAGATATTTAGTAAGCAAATAAGTGGGGATACTCTACCTCATCACTGCTGGAAGATGAGGAACCATCTTTCTTTTCCTTATTTTTCTTCTTCTTCTTACCGTCTTTGTCCTTGTGATCAGACTTGTCCTTGGACTTTTCCTTGTGATCAGACTTGTCCTTGGACTTTTCCTTGTGATCAGACTTGTCCTTGGACTTTTCCTTGTGATCAGACTTGTCCTTGGACTTTTCCTTGTGATCAGATTTGTCCTTGCTATCGGACTTGTCACCCTGAGAACAGCAATAGTTTGCACAGGATCAAACTGATGAACGATGGCTCTTGGGACATACAATTCATCTGATGGAGCGAGACCTGCACTGCTCAAAAGCCTCAAGATACACGTATAACATGGATGGATTTTCAAATGACAAATGACAGCAAATGTTACTGGAGGAGATAGAGTAAAAATCCACAGCATTTCCTTGTTGATTTCCGCCAATGAAAGAAAAGAAAAAACAGAACAAAAAGCATTCCTGCTGCAAAGACCGCTTACCTTTTTGTCTTTATCTTTTTTTTTCCCCCAAGGTAAGCTGAACTCATCCTTCTGTGCGTCCTCCTTCGTGATCTTCTCCTCTTTGTCACCCATAGCTGCAAATAAAGCAGTTTAAAACACAAAGCCGATAGCAAAGGCTTGTAAGGAAAAGCATTAGTCGCGTATGTTACACAAACTTCTCTCAGTTGACTCTTTTTTCCCCCCCAATAAAAAAATGACAGACGGACAGTCTACATATCAGCGAAGGATAGAGAAAAGAATAATGTGTCCTTGATTTATACATACCTGAAGAGAGATCAAAACTCATTTGTCGGTGTGTTTCTTTGAGCTTTGTGGCCGCTGAAAGTTCACTTCTCCAATTTATAGGAAATCATTTTGAGGCGCACCTACAGGACTCAACAGAGCCACGCCCTGTTTGTTGATGAAGAAATGACTCCACGATGGCTTTTTGTTACCCGTGTGCTGCTGCTGTCGGACAATACTTGTTTCGAGTCGCAACAGAAAAACGGGGTTGCTTTAGGTTAAGCAAGGTTCATCTTTTAATGATGGTGTTTTGAGTAATTCCCGGATTTATTCAACATTTACGCAGGCACAAAACTGGAAGAAGCAGAACTGAAAGAATTTCATTTAAGGCGGTCTGCATTTTGGAGGGTTATATGTATTTTTTTTTTTTAAATACTGGCTATTGATGGAAACTAATGAGTAACGCTGAGGATTTGTGAAGCTATTGGTGGGATTCTCTTCTGAAAGGCTTTAGGGCATTGTTTTACTGTACAGGCTACAAACTGTTCAACATAATAGGATATTTTAAATAAGAATACCAGAAAATTATATTTCAGCAGGATGATGGTCCAACATAAATCACAGCTCAAGGAAAAAGTTAGAGAGTTTTAGACAAGAGTCAATCCCAAGCTTTGAATATTTCACAGATCATGGTTGTTATTTAAATAAAAGTGAAAGAACATGACACAACAGCAATGCTGCCAAGCTATAGGCTACACCAAAGCTGACAAAAAAAAGCTGTACCTCTGGATGAGCTGCAGAGATCCATGGTGAAGGTTGGGAAATCTTTTGACCGTCAACTATTACTAATTGACTTGCCAAGATTGACTTTTTGAAAGCAGTATAGGTAACACATCATACAGCACACCAACCCCCAGAGTGACACTTCAGTGGCAGCACAATGTTGTGGTATTGCTATCAGATGATGAAACAGTTCAATGCTGGTAAGATGCTGTCAGAGGCTGTAAAAGACTTGAAACAGGGCTAACATTAGATGGTTTAGACCAAATATTCATTTTTTGCAGCAAAACTTGAATGTGCAGCAAAACTAGTCCAATTAGATTTACTACATATCTAAAATGTTATTTGTTCCAAAAAAAGGAACTTGCCATATAAGATTTATATTTTAAATCTTGAGCAAGTTTACAATCAGTTTAGCTCATCCTGGATGTTCCAAACTGACACATAATTCTCCAAAAGTCTTCTGCATCTGTAATTGTGGGGGTACAATAAACACAAAATAATGACATCACAGTTTTATTGCCCAAAGCATTTGAAATTCTTTAATGCAGTTGAAATTTTGCTCCAAAATATTTTTTCCCCCATTTTCATGTTCAAAACACCCCAACAAAATGTTTTTTTTAATTTATTTTTTTTATTAGCATTGTTAACCCTCGAGAAGCCAATAGAGCTGACGCTACCTTTGACTTGCATGTATGTTCAATGACTATGTTTGAAACATACCAAAAAGCATTGTTAGCATTGATCTAGATTGAGCAGCACTGCTTTCATCTGGTCATGTCATGGTTGGTAAGGCTTGGGGCCTTTCAGGAGGTCACTTGAGGAGAGGGTGGTAGTCCTGGTCGTTCCATCTCCATACCTCCTGGGATTCCCCATCAAGGCCTCCATTGGGGTTTTGGACCTGAGCGTTGGAGCTCTGCCTCCAATGCTCAGGTTGGTGCTGGTGTAAGGTGATTTGTAGGTGGGCGAAGGATCCGTCTTCACAGCAGAGGTAGAGGTGCCGCTGTGATCAGAGCTGTCACCGCTGGATGCAGATGACAACTTATAGGTGCCTGAAGGTTTCGGAGGATCCGTCTTCACGGTGGAGGAGGGAGACACAAAGGAAGAGGATCCAGTGCCGCTCTGAGCAGAGCTGACACCACTGGAGAAAGAAGGTAAACCGATGCTTGAGTCTGAAGACTGTGGTTTGGACTCGCCGCTTTGGTCACCTTCAGGGCTTTCCTGGAATGTAAATGATACCAGACTTTAAAAAAATAATAATCCAACTGGAAAAGCAGAGTAAAAGAAGGTCATGTGTTTTTCTTTGAAATCAAGATCATCTGATGACGTGTCAATTCAAGGACTCTCTTTACCTGCTTGTCCTTCTCCTCTTTATTCTCCTTGTCACTGTCAGATGATTTGTCTGAACAGGAACTGGAGTCCTGTTCAAACAAAAACAGATCAACACTCCTTCAATTGGCCTTCAAAAAATAAAAAAATAAAATAAACCCCACATTTTTTCCAAATAGAATACCTTTTTCTTTTTGTCTTTTTTCTTCTTCTTCTTATCATCATCACTGCTAGAAGAACCCGAGTCCTTGAATGAGAAAATAGAATTAAAACTGGACTTCTGTTTCCTGTTTCTTGCACAGCACCTCACCAGGCTTTTAAAAATACTAAAAAAAATGATAATAAAAAAAAATCAAACCTTTTTTTTGTGTTTCTTTTTCTTGTCTTTTTTCTTCTTCTTTTTCTTTTTTCATCATCACTAGAAGAAGAGGAGGAAGAGGAGGAGGAGGAAGAGGAATCCTGGATGGACATAACAATTGATAAATTTTTAGTCTTTTCTGTGAACCAAATAAATCACACAAAAGCTTGAACTATCACTTGGCCACCTTCTTTTTCTTCTTTTTCTTGTCCTTCTTTTTCTTGTGTTTCTTTTTCTTCTACAAAAATAAAATAGTGGTAAAACAATTTTGTTTCATTGTATGTTTGACCTTGTAACTGCACATTGTACCTTGCTGCCATCACTATCAGAAGAAGAAGAGGAGGAGCTTTCATCAGAAGAGCTGGACCTCTGGGAATGATATCAATCACATGGTTAGATTTACAAAGCCTCTGCAAGATGGACAGTGAAAAGTCTCCGAAGCAGTGTCCACCTGTTGGAAAGTCAGAGCTCACTACAAATTTTACATCTGGACTGTCTTTCTATAGAATGAGACCTGTTTGGGTCTAAAAAATACTGAGTATCATTGGTGATAAATGAAGGACTATTACACTACCATCATGTTAAAATGTGAAGTATTGATTTCCACTCCAAGTGTTGATTAAAGTGTGAATAATCCATCTGTGTTTTTTTTTTTGTTTGTTTGTTTGTTTTTTGTTTATTTACCTCAAATTTTAAATATTATTTTGGCTGTATTTAGTTCTGTAACTTCAGCAAATGTTTCCATAGTACATACATACTTTTATCATTAGACTGTACAGATTTTCACAGTGTTGGCAATGAAAACGCTATCTATTGTAGATTATTTAAATTAGGTGACTAACAGGTAAAGTATTTTTATCTTGCCAATGAAGGCCTCTTGGAGACGTATCACTGTACATTTGTGACAATGGAGCTAAAGATGCTTATGAAGCTAATGGATGCTGATGACTCAATCAGCTCAAGGAGAAACAAAATATATGGGCAACTAAAAAGAAAATTTCTCAGTATGAGCTTGTTTTTAACAAAATAAAACAAAATTTTCTTTGGACATTTTTGCGTTTTAAAACTGATAACCTTTTGAGCAGGGCTGGGTGGGGTTGGAAAATATTTTAACTTTGTGCTATTATCCAGTTTTCTCCTGCTATAATTTATCTAAATGCGTGTCACAAACAAAAACTGTGAAAAATACCAAAACATAATTGAGAATGCTTAGATCTTAAATCTTGAGCAAGTTTATGGTAGAAGGGCTGAAGAATTGCAAAATGACTCTCTCTACCTTCTTTCTCTTCTTCTTTTTTTTGTCATCATCACTGTCAGAGGAAGAGCTGGAGTCCTGTCAAAAGCACCGATGTTAGCACAGTCTCTTATACATACCAAAATGAAAACCTAAATAAAGTCAAGACAAAATAGAAGGGCTATGGTCAAACCTTGTCCTTCTTTTTCTTGGTCTTCTTTTTCTTTTTCTTCTTTTTGTCATCCTCACTATCCGAAGAAGATGATGATGAAGAAGATGAGCTTGAGTGCTGCAAAGAAAAAAAAATAAAATTATTCTTCTTTCAAGAATCAAGTGAAACATCATCCCTAAAAATTATCCAACCTTTTTCTTCTTTTTTGTCTTCTTTTTTTTCTTCTTCTTCTTTTTGTCGTCCTCACTGTCTGAGGATGAGGAAGAGCTGGAATCCTGTGAAGGAAGGAAACCAAAAGTAAAGCGTGAACCAGAACCTCTCAAACAACAATGCAAATTTTTGCCACGAACCTTATCTTTCTTCTTTTTCATCTTTTTTTTCTTCTTCTTCTTCTTCTTCTTTTCATCTTCACTATCAGAGGAGGAAGATGAAGAAGACGAGCTAGAGTCCTGTGAAAGAGGGAAACCAATCATTTAAGGCAAAATGCAAGATAACTTCTTGTGAAAAAGCAGATGCGTGCCAGAATGCAAACCTTATCTTTTGTTTTCTTCTTCTTTTTCTTCTTTTCATCCTCGCTGTCTGAAGAGCTATCAGATGAAGATGAGGAGCCAGAAGAATCCTGTGAGCAAGAAAAGATCATACTATTGTAAATACAAATGTTTTACAGAATGTGTAATAGAAATAGTGCACTTCTTGTTATTTTTGATGCAATTCTCCATAAAGAAAACCATAACTCACCTTTTTCTTCTTCAACTTCTTCTTCTTCTTTTTTTTATCCTTCTCTCCCCCCCCTTCTCCCTCATCATCACTCAGGTGACCATCCTCAACGCCATAAGGAAATGGCTGTGCTCTCCCTAGTGGACAAGAATCATCATAGCAACCCCAAAACATTTCTCCATGGAGTAATTTAATCAGGTTGATACTCTAGAGTTGCACACCCACCAGCTAGTGTAGTGGAGAGAGTGCCCTCTACTGCTGATGTAAGCTCTTTGTCCTGCTAGAGAGAAAAAAAAAAATATATATATATACATATATAGCAATGACTTTCACTGAATGAGCATTTGTACTCATGTATGCAGGTGTGCAGGTGTTAGCAAGATTTTCCACCTTGTCAGCATCTCTGTCTCCATCAACTCCTGTCTCACCACCTGCAGCATTAAACATAAGTTGGTTGATTGTACTGATGCACTTACATCAGCTTGGATATTTGTGTTTTGTTCAGTGTGTAAATTTCTCACCTTCACCTGGAAGAGCATTGCTGGGGTCCTTTTGCTCTTCATCCTGAGAGAATCACACATCAAGATCAAAGTTGCTTAATTAAATTGAATCACAATATAAGATGAGATGTGAAAAATATGCACTAAAACATATAAACAGCATATATTAGAATGCAGAAGAGTGGAATTTTTATTGTTCAGCTCTATTAGTACTAGCTGGATATGCTACTTATGATGCCATTAGCTTGTTTTATGTATTTTGATTTTTTTATTTTATCTAACAGGGCACTGAACATCTGACAATGCCCCATTAGTGCTTCTAACAAGTCATATTTGAAATTAAACAGGACATAAGACAAGACGTCAGTCTCACTTTCAATGTCAAACATGTCGCACTGAGAGGTTAGTGAATCTTCATAAGATTATGTCATTTTATTATTGGATCATTGCTATGATACTAGAGGCACAATTGAGTCACTTTTGCAGGATTTTACAAGTTTAGTGCATGTGGCATGTTGTTGCTTCACCTAACATCTGTTTTTTGTTTTTAATCTATGGCAACCATGCTCAAATTTTGTATAATAAGATTGCAAATTATGCATTATTTCCTCATGGCATTGTGTAATTTATTACCATTAAAATGTAATGTTAATAAATTGGGCACCAGTATTAGGACTAACGTTTTGAAACAGCAATAAAGCATGACTTAGTTATAAAGTTAGAATATTCTCTTTCATTGGCACTGCTTTACAGGCTGAAGGGGTTGTAAATATGAACAAATAAAGTCTAAAATTCAAGTGGAATTTAAATTGAAATGTTGAATAACCCTGCCCTCAAAGTCCAATATTATTGCGGTGAATATAACACTTGGTGAAACTTGAATGCATAAACAAACCAGTTTTTTGTTTCGATGCTTGTTTAAAACAATTCATCCAACCTTAGGTGCCTCCACAGAGAGGGGAACATAAATGAGCTCCGAAAAGACATGACTGCGGGTGATTATGGAATAGTTAAGCTAAACCAGAAATTTTACTCAGAATTAACCCCACAGCAACAACATCAAGATAAACACAACACTGTGTTTATCTTGATGTTCCACCTTGTTGGAGCCTTGTTCATGAGCAGGGGCATTCAGTTTGCAAGATAAAATAAGACATTTGCCTTTTTTTTATCCTTTTTCTTCTTCTTCTTGTCTTTCTCACTATGAGAGGATGAAGATGAAGAGCTGGATTCCTGCATAAATTAAGAAAAAAAAAAAACATCAATACTTAATTTATTTTAAAAATTCATGAGACATGTATAAAATTAGCAAACAATACAAGTGGCATTAGCTTCTCCAGATACAATTTAATCAGGTAGAATCTAAATGTAAAGATGTTAAATAAGCTAAAGAGCAAAGAATTGTTGCTGTGCAATGTGAAAATGAAAATAGTGCAAAAAGCTGCAGGTCAGTAAAATTACAGGAATTAATCAAAACACATTTAGTCGTCTTGAGATGATGCTGAGTGAAAATTTCGAGAAACTAGATCCACCCACTGGGGGAAGTGTGTCATTGAGGGTTTGGGAGGACAGAGTCTCAGGAGGTAAGAGTTCAGCCCTGTCTGTCTGTCTGTATCTCTCTCTCTCAGTTGTTGTGTCCTTGTGCAAGGCACTTCCCCCGCATTGCCTGCAAGGTGCGGTCCAGAGGTGCGGTCCAGGGGCTGCACCTCTGGAACGCAATGTAACTACAATGAATTAATCTGCGTGTGAATGTCTGAATGTACTGCAAAGCTCTTTGGGGTCCCAAACACTGCACAGATACAGGCCAGTTAGCATTATTGTTTTCAGAGAATATCTAGATTTTTAAAGTAAATAAACACATGGACAATCCAAGCCTGCTTCATTAGCTTTCTTAATGATTCTGTTGAACCACATTTCAAAAGTAATGACTGATTTTAATTGGATAATTTTTAGTAGATTTTTGCTTTGGTCAGTTTCAAGTTATTTTAGTGACCATGGTGGGTTTTTCGTCCATTAACAGAGGGGTGTCCATGTGTGCAATTAGAAAACTACAATCTGGTTCTGCTTTTCTAAAAATGACATAACCTTTTTCTTGTCTTTCTTTTTCTTCTTCTTGTCTTTCTTTTTCTTCTTCTTCTTGTCTTTCTTTTTCTTCTTTTTCTTGTCATCCTCACTATCAGATGAAGATGAACTATCCGAAGAAGAACTTGAATCCTACAAGAAAAGAGAAGTCAATGAGTTGTAATCACACCTTTACAGAAAGTGCAAGGATGAGATTTTGACGTTTACACATTTAACCTTCTTTTTCTTTTTCTTTTTTTTCTTCTTCTTATCATCCTCACTGTCAGATGAAGAAGAGGAGGAAGAGCTATCTGAAGAAGATGAACTTGAATCCTATAAAAAAGCCGTAATTATTTGGAAAATATTTTTTTAATGTTAGTGAACCGACTAGAAAATCAAGGTAAACACAAGAAAATCATGCCTTCTTTTTCTTTTTTTTCCTTTTCTTCTTTTTATCTTCACTGTCAGATGAGGAGGAGGAAGAAGCCTGGCAGAAAAAAAGAATAACAAAATATTTTATTAAGATGTGGGTTATGAATTTCTAAAAGCATCTAGAATATCTGCTGGATGATATTTTCATACCTTCTTCTTTTTCTTTTTCTTCTTATCTTTCTTCTTTTTCTTCTTGTCATTTTCCTCATCTGATGAGTCATAATCCTGAATACATGACATTTACAACATTATATGTAAACTTTTAAAAGAAATGTGTTTAATATAAATATTGATGATATTTTTCTTACAGGCTTCATGTGCATGCCCTCTCCAGTCAGCTGTTCTTCCAGACCCTCGGGACCTGAAAACCATCAATTCCGATACAGTGATAATTTTTTAGTAAACATTTGGTTATGACCACAGATTCACACAAAAACTGTATGGACAAAATTTAGTCAGAAAGCAGCACTTATACTTCAAAGATCTGGATTAAATATAGTCAGTGATAATAGGGGTTTATTATTATTGAATTCTTATGATCTGAGAAGGCGGCACAGGTAAAAATCTGTGAATGTTTACCTTCCTGACATATCATAATGCTCTCCCAGACCTTCTCCTTTTTCTCCTTTCCCTTCTTCTTTTTCTTTTTTTTCTTCTCATCCTGCAGCAAAATATGGAGCACAGTATTTTACGCAGTGATTTTTTTCTATGATACATCAATGTTGGTCATCTAGGGAAGACTGAGATTGTGAACCTCTGCTTTAGCTTACAATAAAAAATAAAAATAAAAAAAGCCAAAAAGAAAAGTGGTAAAATAGGTTATAGCCATGTGAGTGAAGGATCAACTATAGAGAGTATATACCTATAACTTTTTCATGTTATGTTTTTAACAACTACAAATAGTATATTGTATTGGGATTTCTATTGGGCAGAAAATTGTAACTGAACATCACCTTGATCACATCTATGTAGTGAAACATGATGAGGCAGAGTTATGCCTGGTAAAATGTGTTTCTTCAGCAGAAATAGACAAGCTGGTCTGAATTTAGGAAGGTAGATGAAGCTACATACATAACAGTCCTGAAAGAAAAGCAAATTTAATACTTGAGACTAGGGTGGTGTGCCCTTCCAGCAGGACAATGACTCTAAACCTACAGCACCACAGTGGATACGTTTAGGAAAGAATATGAAAGCATTATAATAGGCCAATCAAAGTCCAGACCTGAACTGTGAAATCACTAAATCTCATCAAATATTTTTGCTCTAGTTTCTAGTACAGACATCTTTGTCCACTTGAAATAAGTCAAAACTAACTGACAAGAAAATATTTCAGCAGAACTTTAGAGCTTCTTTTGAGACAATTATTTCTTAATAGTGATAAAAAAGCCCTAGTTCCGTTGGTAGATAATCACTTTTTACCAAACAAGTGGAAAAAATAAAAAATAAAAAAAACGAGCACTCTTTCATCAATATGAAAGAATAACTTATTCAAAGCAACATCCAATGTCTTGCTGGAAGTTACTTGTAAGTTAGTCTTGTCTTAGGAAATTATAAGGTTAGCAGACAATGAGGCCTGGATACAAATATAGGCCACATTTTTCTTCTTTTTTTCCCCACAAACTTCCCATTCTACAAAAAAATCTAAATGTTTCATCTTCCACTGCATGTAGTTATGTTGCCTTAAGTTAGTCTAGGATATAAAAATCACAATAAAAGCCTTATGTGGTTGTACCATGAAAAAATGTGAAAAGTGTCAGGAGGAGCAGGACATCTACAGTACATGTCTGCAGTCTGATAACAAATACCTCATATCTCTGTGAACAGGCAGGTAGAATGGCTACGCATGAAGTCACTTAACTTACATGTACAAATGCATACAGCTGCATAAAACTAAACCTGAAATATTTTATGGTATTTGGGTCATTATCTTTAGAAATAAAGCCTCACTCGCTGGCACCTGAAAAGCTGATTCAAACATTCTGGGTGTGTTCCGCTCCTTGGTGATACTTTGTGCTATATCCAGTAGAAGACATGAGAGCCTCTGTCTTGCTTAAGATGAAACAAATACTCCTTTTTGGACAAACCAGCATGTCTTCTTTGAAGTAAACTGAAATTTGAACTGCGTGTTGCAGGTTCTGGATTTTCAAGTTCTTCCTATTTTGCCACCCACTCTCTGAGAAAAACGTACCTACTATCTTATCCTGTGAAGAGACTGCTAACTTTGATTTAAAAATTATAAGAATTAAAAAGTTACAATTTAATTAAAAAGTTGAAACCAATAATACAAGTGGCCTGTTACAAATTTATGCCATTAAATCTAAATTTGCCACATCGACCTAATAAATTATCTGAATGACAGTTAATTTAATATTTTTTTACTCCAAAAGTAAAGGCTTTCCTCCTAATGCATTTAAAGGGGCCAACACCCTCTCGAAGCATATAATACATGCTTTTTTTTTGTTTTTGTGACAAGAGGCTTCGATTGGACTTTTTTGATTAAAAGAACCAGTTTCTCTTTCAGTTTTCCAAAGGAAGCGTTAGTGGGGCACACAGCATAATGAAGCCTAAATAAGTGGGCGAATTCTCACTGTAATCAGTGCTGTTGGAATTTAGCCTAAGGTACTGACATGTCAGAGCGAAGCAGGAATTATAAGGCAGGAGTTTCCTTTACTTGTGCAAGAATGACAAATCATGTGGCAAATGCTGACTTTATTCTATTTTGTTCACCTGAGACATTCAAACTTATTTGAAAAGGTAGATGTTATAAATGGTTAACAGCAACATTTACAACTTTGCCGTTTTTGCAACCAGCACTGAAATAGCTCAGTTACATATAGATTGTCTATTTGTTGCCCATGTTGTGGCTAGGATCTTGTTAAGGAGAGACAAGTGGACTTTCCTCTCATTAAACACGCTGAACTAGATGTTCTGCAGATGTACTGAATGGGTCTTTGAGCCAGAATTAATCAGAACGTCTTGCAGAAACATATTTTATATTCTCCAAATGATTCTGAATGAAATACTCATAATCTTCAATTAGTGTGAAACTCAATCACAGGTTTGCCCAAGAGGTGGATGTTTGATGTAAAGTTGTATTTCAAAGTACATACATTCTTTGATGAAAAGGTATCAATTGATTTGCACGGGTGTTACAGGGAATTACTCTGCTCTCCTTTGGGAACATTGAAGCAAAACTGCACTTTTGAACCAGTGAGAGTCATGATAATGAGCTGGAAGACTATCCTCAGAAAGACTAACAAGCTGAGGAAGTTTGGCCAACAGTCAGTATTTTCACTTACTAATACCACTTTGAGTTGTTTAGCAGCAGTGAAGCATTGGGGTGGATTTGTTGTGGCGTGGATTTCTGTGGGCCTGAGGGATATCAGTGTCATGTCAGGGTTTGTTGGAAGGTATATGATATGTAAAAAACATAACCAATCTGATGGCAAAACAGATAGTTTCATGATATGATGTCTTGCTGATGCAGGTGCAAATTATTACTGCAAATTACAAAAATGTAGAGTGTTCTTTAGGGTCGCACAGTCTGGTAGAGAGCACACAAAAAGGCATTAATCTGTGGATTTTCAAGATCACTGGAGTTGACAACTGTTCCATATACGTGCCGGTTTTGACCCACAAACTTAAAGTGTCGTCCAACAAGTCTAAGAAGAAGAAAGGATTAACTGTTTAGCATCTCAGAGTCCAAGCACACATCGAAATTAACAAAAAAAATGGCTTCACCAGAAGAAAGTTAGCCAAAAGGAAGTCTGTGGAGTCACTCCCAGAGGGCCATTATTAAGAGATGTCCTTACTGGAGTGGGTAAACATTGTAGAGTCAAAAGGTACTAAAACATCCAGGTCAGGGGTGTGTCCTCCTATGACAGTCACTATATTTCAATTTTAAGCAAATAAATGTTTTATTATTTCAGGTTGAATATTACAGCTATTTACAAATGTTATTTCACCTTTATTAGTAGGAAGGGATTCATCAGGGGAGTGTGTTCGGTTGTGTGCGAGGCCGCTTACAAAGGCTACTTGTCTTTTTTGGTGTTGTTGACATATCAGTTTTTATTGCTCATCAAAAATGATAGCACTGAAATATGATCAACATGAAGCTTTAATTGGACTTGATCATATTGATCATATGTTGATCACATTCTTTAAATACAAGCAGCAGGCAAAAGCTTGACTAGCATAAACCAGTGTACAACTTACTTCACTATCACTGTCTGAGGAACTACTGGAGGAGGAAGAAGAAGACGATGAAGAAGAAGAGGAGGAAGAAGAAGATGAAGAGGAGGAGTCCTGTTGAGAAAGGTACAAGGAAGTTACTTCATTTCATGTTTAAAAATAAATTTAGAGTCAGTAAAAAATATGGAATGAGGATAAGCCACAGATGGGTGGAGGAGTGTAGGGGTGTAGCTCGCGGCAGAAAGGTGGAGCTCTACAAACACTCTGCTATGCACACAAAGGAAAGTTACTCACACCTATGGCAACTATGTTGTGATCTAATCTGTCAGTTGTAACACACTGAACAAAAAATTTCCATCAGCTTATCTATCTCCAACGAATGGTTGCGCGGCTACTTGGAGCTAACACAACACTTCCCCTTCTCTGACAATAAATTATTCAGAGTTTCAGTCAAAGCCACACCCCATGGTGACCACAGCAGTAATTTTTATGATTTTATCATATTACACACAAGCAAAATAGAAACTTTGTAAGCATCAATCTCTGCATAGTCTGTCTCGATTTCCCTTGTGATAGTTTACTGACTATCAAACACCTACCTTCTTTTTCTTCTTCTTTTTCAGCTTCTTTTTCTTCTTCTCTTTTTTTCCAATACCCTCATCTTCACTGTCTGGAGAGCTGTCCATTGAGTACATCTGCAAAAATACAAACCAATAGTTTCCCATATAACCAGAAATTACAGGAATTCAGATAAAACGATTATTTAACAGTTGAAATGGTAACACCCAGCAACTCTTAATTTGAAAATAATATTTTGTGTGTTGTGTTATTAAATAGAATGTTGTCAATTGGAATCCACCTTCTTCCTGTCGCATGTTAATATGCCCTTGAGCAAGGGGCTTAACTCCATCATTTCAGTGCATAAATGTGTGAGTATTTGTAAGTGCAAATGGGTGGATGTGGCTCTAGTGTAAAGCGCTTGTGTGGTCAAAATGACTGGAAAAGCACTGTGTATGTTCAGACCATTTACCATTAGAATTACATTAATTAGTAGACATTTAGTGCTTTGCTTAAAGATGGTTGTGTCCTTCCCATTTACCAGTTCATCATCATTTCTTGTCAGCTGTCCAGGCTGACCCTCACTTTGCTGCTTCCCGCTTAGGTTTGCATCTTCTGTCGCCTGCAGGTCTCCTGCTGGCAGGATGCCTGAAGGAACGGCTCCCCCTGGTCGATAGCAAGAAAGATGCATGCTGACTCGTTTTCTGTTAACTGACTGCAAAATGTCAGGTAAAGTCAAGTAGGTGGCATAAAGAGGATTGGTGTTTTCAAACAATACTTTGTCCCCTCACTGGTTTGAATTACAGCAAATGAGAGACTTGCATGGATGCACTTTCCTGCAATTTGACTTCCTGTAAATGCAAAACTAGGTCAGACAGAATAAATGCATTCAAGCAAGGCTAGAGACGTTGTCATATAGATCCTTAACCTAATGGGTTATTTATCAGTTGTGGATATAAAGAACTGCAACGCTCAGTTAAAAAAAAACAACATCTTTGTACTTTCAACAAGTCATGAATGGGACTTCAGAATGCAACTGAAGTCAGAAAAAGCTGATCGCCACGTTTGTCAATTAAAAGCATGGCTTGCAAACCTTTGGAGAGGGAAGAATTCATCTTTGTCCAGGCTTCTCCTCCTTCCAGGAGGACCAGGTCTCCTCTGGCAGACACACCTGTGAGGAAAGGTATGCCTTTATTAAAAGTTTGTGGGCGGGGAGCGAAAGTAGGCGTAAACTACAGCGGAAATACGAAAACAAAAAGTTTCAAATTAAAGCCCTCTTGAAAAGGAAACAGCTACATAATTTTCATAGAAGAAGGTAATCTCTACCAGGCAGGATCAGGTAACTTTCATAGAAATAACTGCTTTATCTGATTCAATTACTCATATTTTCAATATATTTTTCGCACATAATTTTTTTGTCTGTTCAAATTGTATTTTGAAAGGAAAAATATTTTCACCTGTGTCATGAAGGGCTTTCTTTGCGGGTTGTGTGAGCAGGTAATACAGGTTCCACTACAGGCCGAGGATTGTCAACACTGTGTGTGGAAGCCTTTAACAAACATTGTAAAAGTTCTTACGACATCACAGTAAAATGTGCAAATGTCCCTTTAAAACATGCAATTCCTGTCCAGTGCCAATAGTGGGAACTTTTTTTTAATGCCTTCGGCTTCCGTAGACCGACTATGTAAAGCTACAATAAAGCGCAATACCGGAAGTATTGTGTTTGACCAACTAACCAATTAAGGTTTTATATATATATATATATATATATATATATATTATATATATATATATATATATATATATATATATATATATATATATATATATATATATATATTAATGAATAAAAAGTGACTCTTTTGGGCAAATCAGCCATTGTCACATCTACATATTTTGGCAAGTAATGACAAATAAAATTCTCAGTAACATATTTTATATCTTAGACATCATCATAAAATAAAACAAGGTTTTATGTTTACTTAATGTCTGATGGTTAAAACATAATTTTTTTCCTCTTTGGTTTTTGTATAAGTTGTAAATATAATTGGAATTTTATTTTCTCATATATATTAGAAATTGTATTTTAGTTAGTTTAGGATTTACCAATGAGTTTTCCTTTATAGATTGACTAATCTTGCCTTTGTTTTTGTCAAGTTTGTAGAGCAGTTTTCCATTTCGCTATATGAAAAGTGCCAATGAACTGGGCTAAAAAAAAACCTTACTCCACTCGTCTAACAAGCTTTTGTAAATAGACAAATAACGCTTTTACTTTGAAATGCAGACGGAAATGGCAGCTTTCAACGACCTTGCTATCTTAACTGTAATACGTCTCCCGTGCGAACTGCTTGTGGAAGTGTTTACACGTACCTGTTAAGCGCTTTTGTGTGTTATGTACTTCATTTCTTGTTAATTTTACTCTGTCAAAGAAACAACTGACAAGACTTCAGACAAGCTAAGACTCAATAAACACACCTTTTGTTCAACCGACCTCAATAAGTCTAACAGACGCCTTTTGTTATGATTTTCTTTTTAGCGTTTGAGGGATAACGAAAGGTCGAAGGTTGTTTTTATTAACTGTCTCTTGTTAGAGCACTACGGGGAAGCAATGGAACCTATAGGGAAGCTAAATGCGGGATTGATACCAACTTGAATGACTGACCGGACCTCACCATGCCGAGCCAAGCGAGCTCCCTGCCGCTGGCAGCGACTCTGCTGGCGGCGCTGTGGCTCGCCTTGGGTCGGTGCAGCGCTTCCGAATCTCTGGGACCGGGATGCGACAACGGAAAGGTAAGCTGTCTCAGTAGGAGCCACAAACATTTTACATTTCTTTCTTAGACTTTCTTTCCTCTATTATTAACACTGGAGAAGAAACAGCTGCATATGTAAAATGCAAGTTTATGCAGTTACTACATTTACAATGTGGGCTTCACTCCTACATTAACTACATTTGCTTTCTGTATGTGTTCCAGCTATTTTTGGACAGAGACCTGCCTGCAGATGCTGTTCATTGGGGATGTTCAGTCCACTCCCGGCCAGAGTCTACTCAGGTAACCATGGACACAATAGACATCCCTGACTTCAACTACATTATTCGTTATTTGTTTGGCCCATTTCACATTTCAGGAAAACAACTGCTCACACTGCATCATCCCCTAAATCTACTTACTCCACTTATAGACACGTTTCAGGACCGAAGTGCTGAGCATTTGCCAGCTTGGATGTTGCTCAGGTTGCTCTATCAGCAGTTTAACTGGGTCATTCTTATTCCCATCTACAGAGACTTCCAAGTATTGACACCGTGTGTGACCCCGAGGTGAGTAAACACTTTACCAAACACTTTCCCTTTGCTTAATCTGAAACAGTAACAATGGAGGCATACAGGGGAAAAGTTAAAGTGTGAGGCAAACATTAAGCATCCACTTAGCTACAGAAGCTGGTTTAAAGCCTCCTTTTTCAGTAAATTAAACTAAAACTGTGACCAGGAGATGTCTTTAGATTTTTCTCATTGTAATCATAAAGTATTTGAAAGCTAACATGTTTTGATTCTTGCTTACATCATAGCCAGCAAGGCAAATATGCATGGATTACCTGATCTCCTACAACCACTCCATTCCCAACAGGTAGGTGTTAACTTTTTCCATGGTGCAATAACACATTTCAATGCATTTTATTTGATTTACAAATTAGCACATAATGGTGAAGTGGAATGAATTTCACACAGAGTTAAAAAAATATATATTTTCCTAATAAAAATATGAAAAGTGTAGCCTGCCTTTGCACTCAGTTCTGTTTAATTGGAAACTTGAGAGCAACATATTAGGTGGAAAACTTGATGGGCAGTACACATATTAGTCATCTAAGGCACAGATCTGGCTCTCTATAGAAAATTAGCTGGAAGAAAGCTAGAAGAAATCCACAGTAAATATGCTGTAGAAGATGCTTTGGTCAAATAAGACTAAAATTGAACATTTCGGCCCATAATGAAACCTGATGATGCATTTCCACCCTAAACAAATCATCAATTATTTCTTCAACTGGGACAAAAAAGGTGCTCAGAATTCACTGGGAGATCGATGCAGGTAAATACAGGATGACCCTTGAGAAAACCCTGTAAGAGACGTAAAAGACTCTCAATAAGCCAAAGCATACAGCTTAGCAACAATGGAGTTGTTTAGATCAAAGCATTTTCATGTGATGAAATGGCACAGCCAAAGTCTAGACCCACATTGAATGAATAATCTTAGGAAAGACTTGACGATTGATGCTCTCTATTTAATTTAACTGAATTTGAGCTTTCTTTCTTTCCTTTTTTAAAGAAGAAAAACAAAAGTTGTCAGTCTACAGAAGTGAAAATGGCAATTCTGCAAAGGTCGGATTTAGTGGAGCTGAATAAAAGTGCATGCTACACTTTTAAGATTTTATTAGAAGAAAAGAAATTGAAAACCGTGTATAATTTCTCTTTTATTTCACACTAATTCACTTCTTTTTAGTCATTTGTCACATAAAATCTTAAAAATATCAGAACTTTGTGGTTGCAGGGTGACAAAATGAGTAATAATTCAATTGATGCAAACATCTCGAAAATGCAGTACTGTTGTAAAAAATATATGTGCAAGAAATACAATGAATATAACCTCTTTTTCTTTTTAGTGGAGCATTCAGGCCAGTAATGGCAGAAAGTGGAGAGTACTTGTATTGTCCTCCTCAGCGGTGGTTAAATAACTTGCATGTAAGTGTCAAAATCCAACATTTTTAAATTCAGCTTTTCTGTCTGAAAATAATACTATAGTGATATCTTTCTAGTATCGGTCATAATGCAGGCTTTGTTATCACAGGAGTGGAAACATGATTTAACGCATCCAGATCTCAAGGTACAATATGTACCATCAGACCCTTTGGGACTTTGTCCCAAGAGAACTGGAAATGAGATTCAGTCAGTGTGCTGTTGCTGTGATGATTAAGATCCAATTATTACCTTCCACCCAACTGCACTCTGTTTACGGCTCCTTCTTAAATCCTTGAAAACCACAGATTTAAGAAGTATTTACAAACCACTTCAGCTAACAGGAAAGAAGCAACGTAAAATCATCGGCATGTGCTGTGAAGTAAATTCAGTTCCTTCAGGAAGTTTTTGTATTCTGACTCACAGGATGTCATACTAAGTAGTGTTTTAGCAGGTCAGGCTGTTTTTTTTTTTTTTTCCCCCCAACTCTCAGATCTCGGCACCATCATAATTAAAAGGTGCTCTTGGTACAGGTGGAATGTCTTCCAAATCCACATATTTCTTGCAACAGGCAACAAAGTTAAGATAAAAAATAAATAAATTTAGTCACATGAAACAACCTGTTTCTGAGTGATTCATTGACAATAAATATAGAACTTGTCAAATTACAAAAGTGCGCTGTGAACAAAGTATTTGAGCACTTTACCTTTTAACTGTGTCAGATCACTTAAATGTTTCAGCCCTAAACTAACTTCAGTGTCATACACAGAACCCACATAAATAGAAAATCTATTTTTAAAGATCTACCTATAATTGACCACATTGTTGGAACGCAGAGTTCAGTCAGATACTGGTACTTTTAGACAAATCATCTCTAAAGTCTTATAGAAATGTTTTGCTTTTCTAATTTAGGTTACAAAGTGTTTCACCATTTGGTCTGATGTGGGTTTTTTCCAGCATGGTGCCACTGTTTTGCTCTACCATCCCTGTGTGGAGCTCGGTGAGCGTCGCCTCCTTTCTGTATTGGCTCGTTCCTGTCTGCCGGGTCACATCATCACTCCACATCCACAACTCAGCAGAGAAATGGTCTTTTTAACCTTCAGATTAGAACTGGAGTTAATGTTCTGTTAATAATCTGAAGGGTGATTTGTAATGGGATGTTTGTCATCCTTAGCCAATAGCCTTGGTGTCCTGGGGTCGCACATTGGAGCTGACCACCGTGGCCTCTTCAGAGGTCTGTGATTGGCTGCAGGCGACGCAAGCCACCAGAGGCAAAGTTGACAAGAGAACTCAAACCAGGAAGTACAACCTCCTGTTGACCAGGTCAGCAGGCCTGCAGCATCTTGCACCATCAGCAGAAAATAAGGTCAGAAAAACTGGTGAAATATATTAATTTTCTGTTGATTTACATGTGGCATCCTGAGTAAAATGATCAAAAATAGGAACTTTAGTGTTTGGTGCAACACTAAGTAACTATTATTTTAAATCCATAGGTTTCTGTGAGGCAATGCTGTGAGCAGACCATTTCTTCTTTGCGGAGAGTAATCACTGGGGCAGCGCCTGGTATAAAGAAAGATTCCTTGAGACAAATTAAAGAGGGAAGGAAAAATAGGAAAATTCGAGCTGCAATTGGAGAAAAATGGCATATCAGCAAAAGGGCTGATAGAATGACAAATGACTCCAGGCAGATCAACAAAACCATTCCCCAAAGAACAGCCGATGTCCAGAATCACAGCAGCTCACTTGGACCAGAATCAGACTCGCATCCCCTGGATCCTTCTTTACAGACTTCTGAGTCAGAAACCCGGAAGCAACATCAGACTTTTACATCATCGCTCACCCCTCATCTGGTGTCACACGACTCTGAGAGTCTGCTTCAGACCGATCCGTCTCAACATGCAGGCGCAGACTCTGTCAGAGACGACATAAAGGAGAAAAACACTGGTGAGGGCCTCATGGTTCAGAATGAAGCAGTTGATGTCAAAGAAAGGGAGGCCGAGCATAATCGACAGCCCACCATTGAGCCCCTTCCCACAAAGTCCAGTTCCGCTGTGAAGTCCCAGTCAGAGCATCGGCAGCCCAAATCCCAGTTGGAAACCAAGCAATCCAGCAGCAGCGAGTGTTCTGACTGCAAAGCAGGCGAACACTGCGACTGCACTAAACCGTCCGCAGCGGCGAGCCGGGGCGCCATGGTGAACGTCAGATGGCAGAGGACCCCCAGGACAGATGAAGCAGTCTGGGCTGCAGCAGCGTTGGGCTTCCTGCTGGTTCTTCTCACGTTGTCTATTCTTCACACCCGCCTGTACCGCCACTGGAGGACCACACCCAGCCTATACTGGCGCGACCAATATCAGGACTACGACAGTGTGGCGGGTAGGTAGGACGCACAGGGATCTGATCTCCGTGTTGCTGGGAACGAGTGCTCACTGTGTTGTGCTTGTGTTCTAGATGTGATACGCAGGAGGCTGAGAATTGCAAAAAAGAGGCCGAAAAGAGGCCGAAGGAAGGAGTGTGTTCTCCTGCCAAGTTCCTCCAGCTCTGATGAAAATCCATAGCAATCCATAACCAAGCAGAAGGTGCTTTAAATTGGACTTGTCTCCCATTTCTTCCTGGTTCTAAGGTGTAGGTGCTGTGGGCCACAACGGTGTAAAGTAGACTTGATCCTGAATACATCTCTGGTATTAAACTTGGTCAACAGCATCATTGTTTATAATGAGGGTGGATTGGGCAGTAAATCATTTAAAACATAATTTTTACAAACTTAAAAAAAGAAAGTGGCCAGTGAATTTTTTTTTTCTACCTGTAGTTTACTTCTTTGACCTATAAAGCTTTAAAATGTATGTTGCTGTTATAAGCAACACTTTGTGTGTTTTAATGTTCACAGTTATTTTGTTTTATATAGGATGTGGTGAAATGTATTTCACCTACATGTGAATGGGTACGCTGGTTCTGTTAATAGCCATAGAATGTCCTTGCAGATATTAAAAGATCCCAAAGTCTTTTGTACAATGCCTCACAATGGTCTTCACACCCCTGGAGCTTTTTCTAATTGTGTTGTCTTAAGAAAGAACGTTTGGTTAGTTTATTGGGATGTTTTTGGGATTACACAAAACCAAAGTAGCACAAACATGTTTTGGAAGGAATGAGACATGGTTAACTTTTTTTCTGCAAAGGGAATTATGAGAAATGGAGTAAGAATTTATATTCAAAACTTTTCAATCACAAGGATGTGTTCTTGTGAGCTTTGCTTTCTTCTTTGCAAAGATACTCAAGGACCGTCAGACTGGATAATCTGTGAACAGAACTTGTCTTGCC